TTAAAGAGAAAGTAGTTGAATGAAAGAGAGATCATTAGAGGGAGAGTGGGAGAGAGAGTGAGAGAGATACCTGAATATATTATGGAAGTGAAATTTGTGAGAGAAAGCAAGAAGATAAATGAAAAGTGGGCACAGGGAGAAAATGACAGAAAAATTAGGAGAAGACGAAATAGCAGGGATTAATAAAGAAAGAAAGAAAGAAAGAAAGAAAGAAAGAAAGAAAGAAAGAAAGAAAGAAAGAAATATATTGTAGTGTCCGAAAGGGAGGGAGAAAGAGAGGAAGTAAGCAAAAATGCATGACAATGAAAGGAAAGAGTCTTATTAAGATAGAAATACATTGTTAGTGACAAAGAGGCAATGATAAAAAGTGACAAGATTTAAAAAGAAGAAATATACAATGGATACAGAGAAAGAAAAATGGACGACAGACAGACAAAAGACAGACAGCGAGAAAGAAATAAAGATTACTGTAAAGAAAGAAGTGTTAGGATTTTAAAGAACTCTATATTAAAAAATATAGAATGTGAAAGTAGAAATATATAATAGAAATAGAGGGAAAGAACTTAGAAATATGTAAAAAAATATAGTGAAAGTGGAAATATATAATAGAAATAATAGAAAGAGAAAGTAGAAATATAGAATAAAAATATGAAAAGTGAAAGTAGAAATATAGAATAAAAATATGAAAAGTGAAAGTAGAAAATATAGAATAAAATATGGAAAGTGAAAGTAGAAATATAGAATAAAAATATGAAAAGTGAAAGTAGAAATATAGAATGAAAACATGGAAAGTGAAAGTAGAATATAGAATAAAAATATGAAAAGTGAAAGTAGAAATATAGAATGAAAACATGGAAAGTGAAAGTAGAAATATAGAATAAAAATATGAAAAGTGAAAGTAGAAAGATATAATAAAAATAGAGAGAAAGAGAGTGAAGGGTGAGAAAAAAAAGAAAAGTGACAAGAGGGAGAAAAGACAAAATATACAGTAAAAAGATGGAGAGTGAATGGTGAGACTGAATGGAGAAGTGAAAAGACGGAAACATTAAACAATGAAGACAATGCAAGGTAGGGAACGAGAATAAAAAATGAGAAGTGGCAAGAGGAAGAAAGGAATATACATTTGAAAGAGAGGGATAAAGAAAAGGCGAGAATGATACAACAAATGGGAGGTGTTAACAGTAAGAAAATAAGAAGAAATGTACAGTGGAGATATAGAGAGAGGGAAAGAGAGAGAGACATGAGCAGAAGGGAGGAGCGGCAAGCATTAGAAAAGGTGAACAGGAGACATACAGTAGAGAGAGAGGAAGAGAGAGAAGAAATAAGAAAGTAATGTCTGTAAAAACAATTTTTAAAGGTAAAAATCCGGTATGATATAAACTAAAAAGGAAGCAAAATTAAAATTAAACAAGCGAAAAGGAGAGCAAAATAAAACACTATGTTTAAAAAAGAAGGAACTACGAACAAGACAAGAAATCAGCAGTTATATATATATATATATATATATATATATATATATATATAGAGAGAGAGAGAGAGAGAGAGAGAGATGGAGATGGGGAGAGAGATGAAACTGAAAAGGTGGAAAAGAGGAGACAGTAATGAAAGAGGGAGAAGAATGTTCTCAGAAAAAGGAGAAGCTGACAAAAAAGTTTTAAAAGTGAAATAGATAAATTGGAGTAACCACAGAAAGAGGGGGGGGGTTAAAACTCGGAAATAAAGGGAAATGAACAATAAGAAAAGAAAGAAAGAAGCTATGAGAGAGAGAAAGAGAGAGAGAGGGAGAGAGAGAGAGAAAGAGAGAGAGAGGGAGAGAGAGAAAGGAAAAGTAATATGTTACAGTGTATATTTAAAGTACTTGGGAAGCTTTCAAGTAAAGATAAAAAGAAGAAGGAAAGAAATGAGTTAGAGAGAGAGAGAGACAGAGAGATAGAGAGATAGAGAGAGAGATAGAAATAATGTAAGAAAGAAAAAAGAAGGAAAGCTGTAAGACAGGAAAAGAGTGTATATATATATATATATACAGTGTTTAAGAAGCTTTCAAAGAATGGTAAAGAGAAAGAGATAAAGAAAGAAATGAATAGATAGAGAGAGAGATAAAGACAGAGTAATGAAGGAAGGAATAGGCAAGAAAGAAAGAAAGAAAGAAAGAAAGAAGCTGCAAGAGAGACAGGAAAAGAAAAGTAAAATATGGGAGTGTATATATTGAGAGTTTACAAAGCTTTCAAAGAATGGTAAAGAGAAAGTGAGAAATGTGAAGATAGAGAGACAGAGAGAAAGAAAGAAATTAAGTAAGGTAAGAAAGAAAGAAAGAAAGAAAGAAAGAAAGAAAGAAGACGACAATGAGAACATGAAGTGAGAGAGAAAGAAAAAAGTAGGCTTAAGAGTGTAGAAAAGAGTAAAAAGTAAGATTTTATATCCTGAGATATCAAACTTCAAGTGAGTGGAAAAGGAGAAAAAAGATATAAAGAAAGAAAAGACAATGAGAAAATGAGTAAACTGAGAAAGATAAAAAGCAGCTTTAAAAGAGAAAGAGGAGAAGAGAAGCAGTGTGAGAGTTTATACAAAACTTTGAGAGAGTAGCAAAGAAGAAAGAGAGAGGAGATAGCAGGAAAACAGAGTATGAAAAAATATTATAAACGAGAGAAAAAAAAGAGAAGAATGTGTGAGTTAATATAGAAATGTATGAAACTTTGAGTGAGTGGGAAAAGAGAGAGAGAGAGTGACTGAGAAAGTGAGAGGAAATCGAAAACAATGACAAGTTTTCAATTCAGTCGCAAGATAAGCATGAATATTTTTCCAAGAGAATCCGCTTAAGTGTAACCACAACGATACGGCAAAACTTATTGAATGTGAGGTTTCAGGATAAAACCGAATGTTAGCAGACGAAGAGAAAACCAGAAAAAAAAAAAAAACAAATCTTTGCCATTTTTGTCATTTTCAGATCCAGATTGTTAAAAATTCTTCTCATTAGAAAGAAACAGAAAATCGAAGTAAAGGTTTCGGTGTATTTGTCACCATTTCCAGATCTTAGAACAGTTTTCTCATCTTCAAATGAGGCAAATTTGCCTTGTTAAATTTAGGAATTAAATCTTGAGCTATAAATATTAGACCTCGAGAACAACTGATTAGGTTTTTAATGAGTCATTAAAATTATTAAAAATAATGAAATTAAAAATAAATTCTTAATCAATTTTAGCAGGAAATCTACAAAACGACTCATTAAAATTTATTACTAAGAAAGAAATTAGAAATATTTTGTAATCAGAAGGGAAAGTGCCAATATGGTGAATTTATCAATTTAAAAAATAAAATAATTGTTTAGTTTTTTTTCCAACTACAGGAGGCTGCAGCAGATTGAAGAAAAAAGCAGTTCTTTGAGTTGTGAGAAGAGAAAAGTTGTTCGTTTTTATTTTTAAATTTCCTTTTTTGTGTTATTTATAGGTCTTCAATCTTTTTATTATTGAGTTTGTTAAAGAAAAATTGTGTGTAGAAAAAAAGTAAACCCCACTTATACAGAACCCTGAAATAACAAATTTTATTTACATCACTAGTTATATTTTTTTTACGTTTACATCATTTCACTCTTTTTCGTTTTATTAAAAAATTTCATGGACATAAAAAACTTGATTAACTCTGGTGAATGTTAAGAAGACAGAATAGCAAAAAAATGTAGTGAGTTGGAAAGAGAAAAAAGAAGCAATATACAGTGAGGGAGGGAGAGAGAGAAAGAGAGTAAAAGCAATAAGAAAATAAATCTAATTTTAAAATAAAAAATCAACAAAAGAGTTATATAAGAAAAAGAAAAAAACAAACTGGGATTAAAAATGAAAGTGTTTTTATTACTTTAAACATTATTTTTAGTAGATACTCATATTTGTGTAGGCGTTCATTTATTTATTTATTTATTGTCATCTACCACCCGGAATATTAGAGAAACCTTATTAAATAAAAATATGTCCTCTCCCGCAGGATTTGAACCTGCATCCACCTGGTTCAGAGGGAAACCGTTATTAAATCCAACTTGATTTAACCAACTTGGTCATGAAGAAGCTTTGCCAATGAAGCAAAGTCTAGATAGTGTCCTTAAGCAAAATCCTTCCCATAGATTACTCAAAATTATCACATTGGCTCGGTTTTGTATCCATGCATAAACAAAATAATTTTCTAAAGAAGTAATACATTTTTTTTTAATTTAATTTATATTTGAGTAAAAATCTGTTTATTTATTAAACAGTATTAAATGAAACTGAACAGATATAATTTCAACTAATATATGACACAGAGGATTTCCCTGGTCAGACCTTGCTTGACCAGCAAAGCTGCTTCATGGACTCTACTAAGTAATTACTTATCTCTGTGTATCAAGGGTATCAAGATGTTAGATACAAACAATCCAATATACAAATAATCTAATTTGAAGCTCACAACCTAGGCTGAAAAACTGGAATTAATCATTGCAGAATTTTTCTCCTGCAACTTTCATAAGGTCTGTCACTATGCCATCTTCACCAGTTGCGAGCTTACATTTCACATTTTAAAGCATAAACCTTATTTCATCTCTTGTTACTACAAAAACATCACTAGTATCTGTCAGAATGACTGCCAGTGGTATTTTTTATTTTAGAAGCATACAGGTTTGCATAGTATTACTTTGTTACTCTTAACATCTGGTCCTTACTTTTAGTAACTAACATGTTTCTGGTTTTCAATGCTAGGCTACAGATTGACCCTTGACTCTTTTCTTCTTCTTCTGTGTGCCATGATCCTTCAGGACATTGGTGATCATGGCTCTTCACAATTTCCTGTCCTTTTCAGCTCTTATTAAATTTTATGGTTTTGCTATCTTTCCTAAACTCTGTCCAGCCATCCATTTATACGAGCTCGTTAGGTAGGTTATGCACTGTTTTTCTTCATCCCTCTTGCACATTTGGATTTTGGTGTTTCACTTTCCATCCTCTCTTAAAACTCTTCACAGATATTTAAATTGTTGTCCGTCCTGGGTATGGCGATAAACTACATCCATGTCCAGGGTAAGACGATAAACTACGTCAAACAGCAATGCCTCTGATCAGGAGACTTTGAGGAGTGTTGAACCACCTCTTAAGTGCTGGTGTTCCCAGGTCTGCACTGACCCAGGGTGGTAGCACCTGTTAGGGTCCCAGCTATGGGCAAATAGTTAACCCCAAAACTGAGGTAAAAAGCATTATGAAAGTGTAAAAATAGGTTTTGATACCAGAAATACTTTGTAAAAAAATTATTACCAGAAATAAATTTTTGAAGGAAAAAAAATATTACCAGCAATACGTTTTTGAAAATAATATTACCAGCTATACAATTTTGAGGAAAAAAATATTACCAGAAATAGATTTTTGGCAAATAAAAAATATTACCAGGAAAAAAAAGAGTTGTTGGCATTAAATGATCCATTGAGATGGATATGCCGTAAAACAAAACAAACCAAACCAAACTAAATTGTTGTACTGTTGTACTTGCTTGATTTTGGTATTTCCTATTTGTAATTTGTAAGTTAGGCTTTTCTTTTTACTGCTGGCCACCCATACATTCTGTCTTCTTGAAATTAGATTTTGGCCCTCAACGAAGAATCCTGGTAGGACTTTTTATTCTTCCAGAATCACCTCACTGTATAGCTTGAAATGATCTGCCAAGAAGACATATTACACCCCTATATATATTTGTATATTTTCTGAACTCATTTCTTATCTGTATTCAGGCAGTTTGCTGCCTGTATAGTTTCTGGATTATTTCAATATTCTTGCCAAATATATCATAGTTGCCGAGCAGTTCAAACAGCTCTTTGTGACGTATTTTATCAAATGCTGTTGAATAAACTATAAAACATATATATATATTGCAGGGTTCAATGATGTTGAGCTCAAAATAAGTCACCACTTTGTTATGGGATTTTACACTATTGATATGGGTGTATATGGGCACATGGCCAAGTGGTTAGAATGTTTGCATTCTGACCATAGGACTCAGGTTCAAATCTCACCATTGTCGATTTGTCAGGAAGGAGACTTCCTGATGTTATCAGACTGGAGGGGTTGATTGTGGCACCTTTGGAAAGTGCCTGAAAACCATACCACGGGATGACCAAGCCTTGTGAGTGAAACTGGCTAGATGGAACCCTTGGGGGGGGTCAATAGCTGCGCTAGCATGAAGTCACAAGTCATCATGGCTGAGTGCTTGAGCATGCTGGTCTCGTTCAAATTGTTGATCACACTAGATAACGCGCATCTCCCAGAAACTGTAACTAAGGTCTGCTCATCATAGTTGCAGTATAAACTGCAGGTGGGCTGTCTGGGTGTTGAATATACAATACACAAATGTATCTGAGCAAGCAGCAGGGTATCCTCAAATACGAGTGGCCAGCTATACATACATATATATATATATATATATATATATATATATATATATATTTATACAAGTGTGTGAAAGTTTTATAGTAATTATTTATGGAAAATGAATATGAAAATAAGTAACACAAAACAATGAATTTAAAACTAACAGCAATTATATGAATCTATTACAAAAAGTAATTGTATGTGTATACAATTGAAATAAAACGAAAAGACATTGAAACTAGCTATAAAAATGTCATTGTTGTGTGTGTGTATGTGTGTGTGAGAGACATGTGTGTGTATGTGCCTGTGTGCAACAGTTCAGAAGTCAAAAGACGACCAAAGAATCAAACATGACATGGCGGCAGTGTTCTTTATCTACATTTGACTACATTGGAAATCAAAAGAGCTGTTTTCCATGCCTTTTTTTTTCATGTCGAGTCAGCTACACAACAATGGATGGTCCTTTCAGGTAAAGTTCCTTCCTCTGGTTGTTTTTTTTTTTAAAATAGAGGAGTGATGATGTCAGAGTTAGCTCCTCCTTAGTTCCTTAATCCTTCACCAGGGGTCTCTCTCCCCTTGCTATAAATACTGGGTGATCTTTTGCCTTGATCTCTCTTTTCCCCTCAGGCCTTGGGCCGTATCTCACCTCGCGTGGAGGTGAGATAATTCTTTTCTCTTCTTTCTTCATTTCAGTTAATACCAATATGTGAACTCTCACCAATACAGCGTTTCCCACATTCTGGGAACGCGCTAAGAACAACACCAACACATGTATGTACAAACACTCATCACAATACACCCACATAATATTCACTATACAAACTCAATGTAACTGTCCATGTGCTTGTAACTTGTTGTTAATACACATATTTGTTTGTATATAATTATTGGTCTTGTTTGTTTTCTTGGGACTTAATTCTCATGTGGCTGGACCAGCTAGCAGGAAATTTTATCCCACATATGTTCTTTACATCTTCACCTCACAGTCCTCTACACTGATACAAAAAGACATATACATTCTTTTCCATTTGCATTGATCTTTCTGATATTTCTCATTCCTTGTTCCAGCTTTCTTTTTCGTCTCATTTTTTTTTTAATTGTTGATAAGTATGTTTAATTCTGCAGTTTTATCTCTCTTCATTTTCCCAACCATATTTCTCCTCTTTTTCATCAGGTCCAATGTTCACTTTGAGTTATCTCCCTTTGTTAAGGATCTTTCCACTTCTCTCCCTTGTTATCTCGACTGACTGCCCAATTAATTCGCTATTCATATTTTCTGTGTGTTATTAGGTTGACTCATAAGTAATTTCCATTTTTGGGGACCAATTGTAATGGTGAATATATCATTCTAACTATTAATCATACATGGCAGTTAAGAATAAGTGTTCGGTACACTAACTTTTTGTATGAAAGTGGCAGCATACACAGTGGATTAAATGACAATTCTTTTTTTTTCTCCAAAGCAATATAAAGATGCAAGAATAACAAAGCAAAATATTTGGGAACTTGGCAGATCTGTTCTAGCCCAGCTACCATCATCATCTGACCTTGCACTTGTTACCTTTTTCAATCATTGCAAAATACTTTGTGCAAACTTTCTCTAATGCAAACAAAACACATGAAAAGCTGAGTAATTTTATACAAACATTATCGAAGAATTGCCTGATAATTGGCAACAATTCACTGCAAATAATGGTGTATATATGACAGAATAAAACTGAATTGTATTTTATTTTCTGAAGAATAAAAGTCTTCAACAAAAAATGGAAAAGTATTTATCATGATTTGCTAAGCAAAGCTTAGATGTGATACAAGGCTGGAAGTATGGGCAACCTAGTGACAGTCAAACTCACTACTCAGTCATAGATGATCCAGAGAGACAAACCTGTTAACCATTGTACCACATTAAAGTGTTCACAGTGTTTATTTATAGTTGATTTACTAGGCACTGCACAGATATGGCATAAAGCTGAAAGTATGGAGCATCCAGTGTGGATTGAACTGTCGTAGTATTTGAGCTAGCAAGGCACACTTTCTAACCATTACCCCAAGTCAGAGTACCCTAATAGTTATTTCCTAAGAAAAGATCAAATGTATGACACAAGGCCAAACGTACAGAGCACCTAGTGGCTTCATCATTAGAAACTTGACAGAGATGGATGATTATTTCTTCAAAATAGTCCAAAGATAAGTGATTACTTGGTCAGAA